GGAGGGACCGGTCCTTGGAGAGGGACATCATGCTTGGTAAGGTGGAGGGACAGCTCAGGAGGGGAAGGCCCTCTATGAGGTAGATTGGTTCAGTGACTGGGGCAATTGGGATGGGTGTATCAGAGATGGTATGATTGGCACAGGACAGAATGGAGTTTAGGGCTGTTATACATAGGGTCGCTATGAGTTGCAGGCGACTTGATGGCACATAACAACAACAACAATCTAGAGGCAAGAAAGTAAACTTCATTTAATGTCTGATTGGTTTTTAAGTTGCAGACAGGAACAAATAGTGTGGGTATCTTGAAAGAAGGACAGAAGACATAAATTTAGCGATCTGTCCTTCATTTTCTCCATTCCTTAGTTTATAAACTTTTCACTGCCACTGAGGTAGAGCAGGGTCACACTTCATCAAGAACCAGGCTTTGTTATCTACTCTGATCTCTGCCTTGAACAGTGCCTTGAAGTCACCATATCTTGTCACCTTACCAGAATCTACCCTTTGGTGGGCTATTGGTAAGAAGCTGTGCTGTAGTCCCAAAGGCACACAGTTCAAGTGCACCAGCTGATCTGTGGGAGAAAGATGGGCAATCTCCTCCTGTGTCTCAGAAAACCATTTGGAATGTCAGCTATGAGTTGGTTCTAACTCAACAACACATAATAGCAATCAGGTAATTAGGGAGTAGTTCTGATCACTTAGTGACAAAGAGTTACACTGCCAACACAAAGATAAGTAGTTCAAAACTACCAGTTGCTCAGAGGGAGAACAATGAGCAGTTTTCTCCATGCAATTTACAGCCTCTGAAAAATCACTGGAGCTTCAGCTATAAGTTGATTCCAACTCAGTGGCACACAGTAACAATAGCAATCAGATAATTAAACAGTCAGAGTATGTACTGGGTGATCTTTCTGTAGCATATACCACCTTTCTGGAATATGGAAAAAATGGTTGCTTTTAATTTCTTTACGGTCAGACTACAAGATGCGGTGAAATAGCAGTTTCATTAGCTGTAAAGTGTTTAGAGCATTGCTTCAAACTTGTCAGATGCTGCTAAGGGCGGTATGTATTCTGGCAAATTATGAGTTGTAAATCTTAATGGAGGGCAGAGGTTAAACTTAATGACCTCCCAGTGTTCTTTCAAAGCATATTTTCTGCTCCAGTTCCCAGTTGTGTCATTATATTTTTCTTATCCTAATTAACAAATCCATAATTTAGTGTTTATTGCAAATTTCACACTGGTGATATATAAGCTATGTGCTAAGTGTATTTGTTAATTCTGTGGAGGCAGGGATAGTGCAGTGGCCGAATTCTTGCCTTCCATATGAGAGGCCTGGTTTCCATTCTTGGCCAGGGCACCACTGCCCATCTTTCAGTAGATCCATGGGTATTACCATCATACTGATTTGATACAGCTTTCTGACATGAGGCTTCAGTAGAACTTCAGTAAAACAGTAGGAAGAAAGGCCTTGGAATCTACTTCTAAAATCAGCCATGAGAGGTGAGGCCATGACTAGAAGGCACCACAGCAATGTGGAACGTGACAGGACATGTTGTAACTCAATTAGTTACAGAATCTTTGCAGTATGAATCATTGAATGAAGAATTGCTTGTTGTTCAATGAATAACTTCAAGGTAAATATTTCTTGGTAATTGTAATGTAAAAGTAACTTTTTAGGGAATATTCTTCTTTTGAGAATAGTTAAAACCATATTATAAGTTTTCCTAAAATAGAGAAGAATATTCTGTCTTATTTGTTTTAGTTATGTTAAAAAGCATTTTCTATATAATCCTACCCAAGTAAGATGTTTTGCAACTTCATTGTAAATGTGTCCATTAATTTTGGTATATGTGTAAATTTTTAAAATTATGTAATGAGCATACTTCTTTTGATTGGCAAAGTTGTAATTGCATTATATTCTCATGGTTAAGAAAAATATTTAAATTAAATTCCAGCATAATTACCTATTCTTCTGCTCCTCAGAATATCTACATTAATTCCCTTGGACAATATTGGGGAGAAAGAGGTGCAATGGACTAGAAAAGAAGAGAGGCTTATTGCATGAATAATTGTTACTTATCTTTCTATATTTTGTCAGCTAAGGGGAGGAATGAGAGGAGTAGTATTTTGTGTATCTTATATGCCAGAAGTGTTCCTAATAGGAAAACCTAATTTTCTCCAGAAAATGTTGTTAGTGTTCCTGAGGTTGGTCCTCTCTACTTCCTTCCTTCTGGCAGGACCTTACTGCTTTGTGTCCTACTAAAGTTACTCTGATTTACCACAGCAAGAGGTATTCATTACTCTGATATTCCAGAGCACGAAGTATTAGTTATGTTATAGCCGAAATACTTAAAAAGAGTGTTATGTAAAAGAGGAATTGGGCTTTATTGCATATGGCAATAGAAGGAAGAACCAGGACAACTAGGTAGGAAGAGAAAAGAAAAGTGAAACACCTTTCTAAAAAAATGATTGCAGATTAGCATTAGCTGCCTTCTTGGGAGTAGTGTGTAAGATGTTGAACTAACTGACTTGAGTAGCCTAGAATTTTACTGTTGTATTTATTAGCTCTGGGTGCATAGCGAGTTGTACTGCTAAGGCCACACCTCTCTGTTCGAATCCATCAATGACTGCACAGGAGAAAGATGGGTCCTCTTGTCCTTTGCATTTTGCAGCTTCTGAAAACTCAGGTCATGGTCGGCTATGAGTTCTGACATTATTACAAATATGTTTCTTCCTTATTTGTGTCTGAACAGTTACCATAACTATGTATTTCATGTTCTCTAGTTTCTCTGTGATGCAAATGGATGAGAACTTAATTATGCTTCTTCAATCTCATGTTCGTGTTTTTCTGAGAACTCTCAAATATTCTTGGTCTTTATCACTATAGAAACTGCCTTTACTCTTCTTTCTGCTGTTAAAACTCTGTTGTTGTTGTTGTTGTTTTGTGCCATCAAACTGGAACTGACACATACTTGACCCTCTAGTGAGTTTTCAGAGACAGTAAATCACACTGGAGAAGATGGCCCGTCTTTCTCCCGTGGAGTAGCTAGTGTATTTGAACCACATACCTTCAGGTTAGCAGCGCATCTCCTTTCTACTAGGCCACCAGAGCTCCCACAGTGCTGATGGGCACTCTTATTTTTCCCTCCCTTCCTCTGAACTCTTCTTCAGTATTTTTTATGTTTGCATACAGTCTAAATAATATCTTCAGATATTCTTCTAGTTCACAGATTCTTTTTACCTATATCTGCCCTAATATTAAACCAGCATAATGAATTCTTAATTTCAGTGTTCATTGTAATTATTTTAATAACTTTTTGAAAACTAGGAACAGTCCACATGCTCATCAATAGCAGAATGAAAAATATATTTAATGTGCAATGGGATATGACACTGGGTAAAAATGAATGAATTTCACAACAATTGATCTTTTTACCTGGTACAATAGAGGAAGGAGGAGAATCAGGAGGAGGAGTGTTGTGTGCCTCGTTGCCCCCAAAAGCAGCCACTGTTTTTGCCTTGAGACTAGAAGAACTGGATTGTGCCCAACTAAAAATTCCACAGAAGAATCCTGACCAAAAGAGGGGAAATGGAGAACAGAATTTCAAAATGCTCACAGACTCTAGACTTTAATGAGCCACAAAGGGTGGGTGAACCCTGAAACTGTGATAGTCTTTAAAGCTTAAGATAACACTACCTTCTGACATCTTACCCCTGAACAACAATTTTAAGCTTAACTAGTACAAAAGGCTGGCCCTGAGCATTAAGCTCTTCTAAGAACTGCATATATGGGATCAAATTGACAACAGCAACTTGAAAGAGAGAGAATTGGGGGGGGGGGGGGGCGGAGTGTAGGAAATTGTGCAACAATGAAAGAATCTTTTTAAAGAGAAAAGCTAACTTGGGGAGGGGGAAATGTTGCAACATTGAATGAATAGAAATCCAAATTTTCTGTAAACTTTTATTAAAATATCAATTAAAAATAGAAAGGGAAAACTTAACGGGCAGTGAGTTTTTGTAAATGAGAGAGGAGAGTAGGAATGCTTGTGTGACGTGAAGAACGTAATCAGTGTCATTACATTGTACACATAGAAATTAATTGCTGTGTATTTTATTGTGTATGTCTTCAACAACAACAGCAAAATAAAGCTCAGAAGGAAAACGAACAACTTTTAACCACATGGAACAAGAAGAAATGAAACTCAGAAAAGGGCAATGTGAAAACAAGTTACAGGATGAAAACATATTATTCGGTTTCTATAAATTCACATGCCTGCGCAACTCAGTATCTTACTTAAGGCTATACAAACATTTTTGTCAGAGTTATAAAGACAAACAAAAGAATGATAAGTAGAATTCATTTTAGAGATTAGTTTACAGGACAAAGGGGGATGGGTTAGATCAGAGTACTCAGAGACTTCAAAGACTTTGGGAATGTTCTTCATAAATAATTAATGTTACATAAATGTTGATTATGTCTGTTATTTTTACTGTCACATACTTCCTAAATTTTTTTCTATGTACTCAATTAAAAAAAATCTTAAAAACCTTTTTATCAGAGTAGATTAATAGACTGTAGCCTAATTATCTGCACAAATACCTTCTTTGAAGAAATAAATTTGTGGAATTTGTTTAGAACTTGTTAAAATGATTATTGATGTTTTATTGTATTTGTTTATAGCATGCTTTAAAAGCTTACTAGATCATTATTTTTGGGCTTAGATACTAATATAGATATCACTCTGTTTATAATGGAAAATATTACATAAAATTATTATACTTTAAACCAGTTTTACAAGTGAAACTGAAGTGCCTGCCATGTATTCACGTCCTTGCTTAGAAGCCCTGTGGCAGCAGTTAAGCCCTGTGCTGTTTCTTGGAGGTGATGGACATGACCGCAGCCCATGGAGTTAGCGATGTGATTATGTACAGCTAGGGGTTACTATAGGTTATTCTTTGAAAATAGGACTTCAAGCAAAGCATCTTGTATTCCTTTTGCAGAAATGTTGCCGAGATGCTGCTGAAAGGGCCAGAGATGCCAGGATTTGGGACACATTTTGAACCTTTAAGCTGTCTGACATTGACCTCCTTTCACAATTAATAAAGAAGAAGCAGGAGCTTAGGATATATTAAAACCAACTCATTAACACACTAACTGGACAATGTTCTGCAACTAATTCTACATTTAAAGAACTGGATTGGGACAAAATAAAATAATTTCACATTTCACTCAGTTTATAATATGACTCGATGGAGGAAAATTTGATAAGCATGAGAGAAGACCATTCTTTTCATGTTCGTTACAGGTAAGATTCTTGCTTTCTTAGCAGGTGACTTTTAACCCTTATTTAAACATACATATGATGCCAGCTATTTAAATTCTAAGTTTGAAATATTCAAACAGCCCAGCTATAGTTAGTACTTCTTTTAACAGTTTTTTCTTTATGATTGTTGTAATGTTTTTATGAGAAAATACTAGTAGAGATCAATTAACAGTTTATTATTAATGGTCCCTAGAAAAATGGTTATTAGATATTCTTTCATATTCTATAATTATAAGGAAAATTAAAAAATGGGATATTTAAATTTTTGGTAATAAAAGTTGGCTCTCTTATCTGGTCAGCTGAATGACCTAGTTTGTTTTACTTTTTAAGTGGTAATCTTTTATAAATGAACTTTTAAAAGAATGGGTATTTTTTAAAAAAATGAGTATTAAAGTTTAATAAATGAGCAGATGCTTTTTAAACCTGCTAGGCCAATAGTCAGTTTATTATTTCATAACAAAATAGTTTTATAGCATTCTGATACAGTTATGCATTATACAAAGATAGCTGCATCACCATTACCATTTAAAATTTGTTCTAGAAATTCTGGTCAGGACATTAACATTTGTACTCAGTGTCAGTACTCTAAACCATAAAACATAAGCATAAAATTGGAATGGAAGACAATTATTTGCAAAATTATTAGGTACTAATAGATTACTTAACCAAACTATTATAAGCTAATTATTAACAGAACTCTGTAGCAGTGAATGACTAGAATTCAGAATCTCTAATGAGTGAAGATCTGTACTCCTAAATCTTAAACATGTTAGCATGTTGAGGAAATAGTGAAGGATTAGTCATCTTGTGGAATTGGTGGCTCGTGCTAAGGCATGATACTAAGGACGTTTCTGAAGGTAGGATGAAGGCATTTCTATTAAAAATTGCAAATAAAGGAAAATGAAGACATTCAGCATAATTGAAGTGACCTTTTAATATAAGGTATGTCCTCGCCCTCTTGACGCCCTGCCAGTTTTTCTTCCTAAGTGTTTATCACATCCATCTTCTCATCTGGATTCCCCACTGCTATATTTCAGCCCCCCATCATGTCCCTTGTCAACTAGTGCATAGGACCTTTAGCACCTTTATTCTTTTCTTATCCTCTTGAAAATCCTTTTAAAATATGTTAACAGTAGGCACAATGGCTGTTTAATGCCTTAGGGTAGCAGATCCAGGTTTAACATAGCGTACCAGTTCTTCCATTATGTGGGCTCTGCCTACTCCTAACGACCTTCCTTCCTGCCCGTCATTACCTGTGATTACCTCTGGTTCCCTGCATATGCCATGCTGGTTCACGTCCTAGTGCCTTTGCTGTGCTATACCCACTGCCTTCAATCCTTTCCTGCTTTTCTAATCATTTATATTCAAAAGTTAAGATTCAGCTCAGGGGTGAACTCCTGAAAACCCTTTCTAAACTTTATCATTTAGGCTCTGTATCCTCCCTATATTCACACAGCATCTTGTGCATATAGCTTTCTTAGAATTTACTATGTTAAAACTCAGGGTATCTGTTCCTGTGACTGTATCCTTCTCCTCCCTTGCCTTTCCCTTGTCTAACCATTAGTTCCTTTAGGTTGTTGGGCACATCATCCACATGTGACAGAACATCCATTGAATGTCAGTGGACTGAGACATAACTGTAAAGTGATCCCACTGAGATGGTTATCTGGGCTGGATGGGCATTTTAAAGAGTAGGTTGCTTCCTAATAAAAGTAAGAGCAGTGGATCAGGAGGAATGATTGCATCTCTACTTCTAGAAAGACCTGAGGTTTGTCCTTTTTCCGCGACACAGCACAGGTCAAGCGTGGTTACTCACTGGTGTAGAACTTTACCAAGGAAAATCTTCCCATCCTCTGTTTTTGTTAAGAATATGCTTGGTGTCATCATTGCTTTAAGATCAGAATTATGTATATTCGTTGTATCATTCCAGTAGGTAAATGAGAGTAATGGTTTGCACCCCCTGTTAGGCATCATTGTTTAGTAGAATCTACTTTTCTACTCTGGTAAATACTTAACATATGTTTAAACATCTGTTTGTCCCTGAAAGAATTGCTACATTAGAATAATATTATAACTTTGAAATGGAAGGTTTTCTTTTCATACTGAGAGACCTTAAAGGGATTTCAGAAAACTCTGAAATATTTGGCAAGGGCAAAAGAAATGGATAGTAAAATAAAGCCAGATTGTAAATCTTCTAACAGTAAGCATTTTGGTACTTTATATATTATAAAAATGAGACTATCACACATCAGTTTTAAAGGAATATAGTTTTAGTATTAAGTTCTTCAATTTACTAAGCAAGTGTAGTGTTAATAATAGTATTGTCTGCAATGTAGTTTGAAGTACAAGTAGTCCCTGGGTTGTGAACATTGATTTATGGACAGTTCCTATTTGCCTTTTAATGTTATATAAATTTGCTCTCCCTTTGAAATAAATGAACAGATCCCTGCTGGTAACAGATTTCTAATCACAATCATCTTTACTTGCTGCATATTTTAAATTGTTGAAGAGACTGCGAGCCTTTTCTTGCACTAACAAAAACCTACTATTGTCAAGTTGGTTCTGTTCATGGAGACCTTCCATCCAGTTCCCAAGGCCACCCATCTTCCTCCCAAAGAGTGGCAGGTGGATTTGAACTGCTAACTTTTCAGTTATCCACCTGACAGATTACTCCAGACGCTCTTCCTCTTACACTAAAATAATAAATAAACTCACTGCTGTCCAGCCAGTTCTCACTCATGGCGACCCTCCATCAGGTTTCTGAGGCTGTTAATTGCAAGAGGAGGGGCCTGCCTCTCTTTCTCCCTGGAAACTGCTGGTGGGTTTGAACCACTGGAAACTGTCAGCATTTGGGTCAGCAGTACAACTTTCTTTGGACCACACCACCAGAGAGAGCTCTCTGTATGTCCATTGTTGTCGTTGTGTGTACATTTGAGATGGAATCAACCCATAGCTGACCCTCCAGTGGGTTTTCAGAGGCAAAACAGGAGGAGATTGCCTATCTTTCTCCCACCAAGCAGCTGGTGGGTTTGAACTTCATGCCTTTGAGTTGACAGCATACCTCCTTACCACTAGGCCCCCAAAGACCTATTTTACCCCAAGTTGTTGTTGTGGAGTACCACAGAGTTGGATCCAACCCATAGCTAACCCTCTGGTAGGTTTTCAGAGGCAGTAAATCACATGAGAGGCAGTTGTCCATCCTCCTTCCATCATCAGCTGCTGGTTTTAAACATGAGCCTTCAGAATTGCAGTGCAGCTTCTAACCAGTAGGCCACCCAAAGCTCCCTCTTGGTAAAACTAAGAACTGTATACACCTGTACCAACTGACCTACAAATTCTTAATGACACAGTTAGGAACAGATCTTGTTGCTAACCCAGGAACTACCTGTAATGTAGAGTGGTGGAAATACTGCGTTTGGAAAACATCTACAGAATTTCACTTCTCAATTCCACAAGGGCATGGCTTTAAGCAGGTCACTTTTATCTGTCTGAGCATCAGTTTCAAAATGAGTTCTTTTGAAAGTAACATTTTATCTAAAATAGTAAAACCTAGGAAAGCCAGAACCTACCTAAAGCATTATCTGGTCTAAAGGTGAAAAGTGGAAATATTTCTCACTAAATGAAGAACTCGAAAAGATCCTCAACAAAATGGACTGACACAGTAACTCCAGTACAAAATCTGCTTGGGCACGATGGAGATCATGACAAAGGGCTATGGGTAGGGCAAGGTCAGAACTTTTGTTCATGAAAGGGTAATTAGGGTTGCTCTGAGTTGTAGTCAGCTCAGTGGCACCTTCCAGCAGCCGCCTATCAAAGGCTGGAAGCATGCAAGACCTATATAAACAGTTCAGTCCTAGCGAGTCCAGCTGTACATGCTTTGTTGTGTATGTTAAATCCATGTTTTAAGAGCCAATTTATTTAGACAACTGAAAATAAATAGATGATGTTCAGAAGTGTACAATGAAAAGAAATTAAACCAATTACTTTCTAATGTGTCCCCTCTTCTTTTCAACTAAAGCAAAAGTCTCTGCTTTAAGGGAAAAGTCAGAAGAATAGGCAATTGTCTTTTTCCCCCTAATAACGTAAACAGCTACAAGAAATCTAATTGTACTAAGAGGAATTGGATGTTGGCTCACACATACCCATTCTTAAGGACAGTAGGCTGTCGTGTTACAAGAGCGTCACAACCCCCCCCCCCCCCCCGCCTTCTTGTGATGCTCTTGAGTTTTCACTTAGAGGTAATACCAAGTGCCAGTGCTGCAGCTAATTCATACTCCCCTTGATTTACTGCACATTTGCTGTCAGCAGAGAGTAACCCTGGTAGGCTGATGCTTTTCTCTCTCCTTGTTTAATCCGTAGATTGTATACTCTCTCTGACATATACCTGATGCTCAGGCTTTGACTTCAGAAGTAGAACTATAGATGGAATCTGAATTCTCTGAAGCATTTTCCTCTAGTTCTTCTGTTATTTCTGGAAAACTGATCTTCGGTTTTGCCAGCTCACCACTGTCTTCTTCAGGAAGCACACATTTCCAAAGACCATGTGGTTTTTTTCTACAACAGTTTGCAGTAGTCTCCATGTTCCTTCTTCAGAACCACTGCCATAGAGTTCTCCATCAGGACTAAATCTCACATAGTGCATAGGACCAAAATGCCCTTTGTTGGATTCCAGTTCTCCACTATCATAATCATTCTTAGAAAGTTTAAAATCTTCACTACCTGCAACAATTAAATTCACTTTTGAAGCTACATTACAAAAAAAAATTGTACATCATAGCAATTTACCCTACTTTTGCAAATTAAGGTGCTCTGGTGGCATAGTATGTTACATGTTGCCTTACTAACCAGAAGGTCAGCCATTTGAAGCCCACCAGCAGCTCCAAGGAAGAAAAGTGGGCAGACTCCTCCTGTGCCTCAGAAACCAGGGGGAGGGCAGCTGAGTGGCAGTCAGCCGGACAACAGTGAGTTTAGGTTTTCTGCTC